CGACCTTCAGTGTCTAGCCACTGGCTCTCCTTCTGCCTTTAGATCAAAGACCCCTTTCTAGTCCCTACAGAAACCCCTGCGGCCTGAGTCCAGACTGCCTGGTGCAGTCTGAACACTTCTTCCTGCGTCAGGCCCACGCTCTGCAGACTGGTACCATGTTCCCTCCTTGGCCATCCTTTCCACATGCCCGAGTTCATGCATTGAAATCCTTCCTTCAGCCTCTGAATAATTTGCTGTTGCTTCTGTGGGGCTCTGAGAGTGGGTCTCCCTGGTGTGGCGCCCAGAGCGCTCCCACCAGCGCCACAAAGGGCTGACCTGTCCCCTGCTCTGCTCCCAGAGCCAGGCCTCGGCAGATGCAGCTCCAGACATCACTGGCTTTGCTGCCAGCCCCCAGCCATGGCACGTCCCTGTCCAACCTGCTGCCCAGGCGCCCCTCGGTCTCTGCGGGCGCAGGGGGTCCCCAGCCGCCCGCTGCCAATGACTGTCCCGGGTCTCAGGGGGGATCCCAGGCTTGTTGGCTGTTTCCCTAGGGCCCGGGAGCAGCCGGCTGCGGGTTTCCTGCCGCTCACAGCCTCCCCCGGGTGGTGACTACCGAGGCTAAACCAAGGGAGCCCAACGCAGATTCTCCAGCGGCCCCCCCCGTTCTCCGGGTCTCGGCTTCCCGGGGCTTGCGGAGACACTGCCCCCCCCCCCGGGACCCCCACCCACGCCGGGCCGAGAGCCCAGCCCCAGCCGGGTTCGCCCCCCAGCGCCCCGGGCTCCGGGGCCAGCGCCGGCCGGGCCGGGCCAGACGGACCGCGGGCAGGGCAGGGCAGGGCTGTTGTCCCGGCCCGGCCCGGCTCCGGGCTCCCATTGTCACCGCGCTGCCGCTCCCTGCGCCCCGAGCCGGCGCCTACCTGCGCCCGGCCCCCGCCGGGCATCGTCCCCCGGGCTCGGCCGGGCAGGCGCGTCGGGACGAAGCTCGCCGAGCTGCGGGCAGCCGCCGGCGGGATGCGCTGCGCGGGGCGGGCGGGCAGCGGGGCGCAGAGCTGGGCTCGGGGAGCCCCCGGAGCTCGGGCGCGGAGGTCTCCGGCTCTCCCGGGGAGCCGCGCGGGGGGACCCGGCATCCCCCTGCTGCGGGAGGGAGAGAAAACTACAGCTCCCGGCAGCCCGTAGCGCCGGGCCGCCTCCCCCTCGCCTGGCCCCGGAGCCTCCCGGCCGGGTCCTAGCAGCGCCCCGCTCCCCGCACACGGGCTGGCGGGGCGCGTCCCTGTCCCTGTCCCACTCCCACCCCGGGGCCCTCCGCAACCCGCACCGCGGGCTCCTGCCCGGGAACCGGGCTGCAGCGGGAAAGGCGCCCACACCCCATCTCCTACCCGCCCCTGGCTTCCACACGGCCCGGGGGGGCTGCCCCCGAAAGGAGCTTGTGCATAAGAAAGGCCTGAGCCATAATGGGTCAGACCAAAGGTCCATCCAGCCCAGTATCCTGTCTACGGACAGTGGCCAATGCCAGGTGCACCAGAGGGAGTGAACCTAACAGGCAATGATCAAGTGATCTCTCTCCTGCCATCCATCTCCATCCTCTGACAGACAGAGGCTAGGGACACCTCCTTACCCGTCCTGGCTAATAGCCATTAATGGAAGTGAGGTTTTTACCCACGAAAGCTAATGCCCAAATAAATCTGTTAGTCTTTAAGGTGCCACCAGACTCCTTGTTGTTTTTGTAGATACAGACTAACACGGCTACCCCCTGATACTTGAGTCCTAGCCTTCACAGCCTCCTCAGGCAAGGAGTTCCACAGATTGACTGTGCGCTGCGTGAAGAAGAACTTCCTTGTATTTGTTTTAAACCTGCTGCCTATTAATTTCATTTGGTGGCTCCTAGTTCTTATATTATGGGAACAAGTAAATAAGTTTTCCTTATTCACTTTCTCCACATCACTCATGCTTTTATAGATCTCTATCATATCCCCCCTTAGTCTCCTCTTGTCTTGCTTCTCTGGGATGGAGGCAGAAGGCCCGGGACGTGGTTCTGTTGACAGGACAATGTACATTCGGGTCTGGCCTGCCCTGTGGTCCTGGCAGACCCTCTGATGATGACCTCACTGTCAGGGAAGTGAAAGTGATGAATGAAAAGAGGAAGGGTTTTTATTCAAACCGGTTAAAAGGCTATGATCTGGTTTTGTTAACCGCTGTGTAACTGAGCCCCTGAAACCCACTGTGGAGAAAAGCTCCCCGTGTAACAGATCCAACACCGCTGGCCCTTTCAATTAAGGGCTGAGCAAGCTCTCAGTTAAGGGCTAAGATCCAGCCACACATCTAAGTCCACTGAGGGAGACCTCTAGCAAAGACCAGACAGGAAATACTTCTCCTTTCAAGTCTTCTTTGTACAGGGAATAGTAATAGTTAGAAATACAGGTAGTTGGGTTTGTGCTGCCCAGGGGAAGTACCTGCTGGGTGTGAACGGTGTCCACCAGCACCTGTAACAACAGCCCCCACTCGGCACCTCGGCTGCCCCCACACCTGGAGCCTGCGCAGGGGGATGGGAGGTACACTGGCGCCATACCCCTTGGAGGCCATGTCCTCACACCGCTTTCAGGGGGCACCACTCAGCCCCAAACAGGGACAGGCCTGAGACAGTCGTTAATGACTGATACACCCGATGGGGTGTGAAATAATATCGACTGCCCCGTGTGACACCCTGCAGGTCCTACCCAAGCCTGTCCACAGGTGTTTCTGTTGTGGGGGTGGGTCTGGTTCCCGGGGGTCACAGGATGATGCAAAACAGGGAGGGACCACATAGGAGTAGAACCAGCCAGCATGACCTCAATGCGTGTGTGTGTCTGAAATAAATGGAGAGAGAGGTTTGTTTTCTAATTACCCCCACCCCCCGTCTGGTCAGCCAGGGTGGGTGAGGAGCAGCCCAGATTGGCCGGGAGGCAGAGTTGGGATTTCTGTCTTGCTGCCAATACCCAACATAGCCCTGATTGCAGACTGAGTGAGGACATCAGGGTGTGGCCGGGTGGGAGTGGATCTTCTCTTCCCTTAGCCAGCCATGCAGGACTGCCCCCACCCCACATGCTGCACCGAAGGGCACTTCAGCCGTGTAAACGCAGCGGAGTCCTTCTTTGTAAAAGGCTCTGGAGACAGGACGCTCAGATCATAATGGTCTTGTGGTTAAAGATACAAGACAGCGCTCAGGACACCTGAATACTATTTCTGGCTTTGCCAGATGTCTCAGTTTCCCAATGTCAAATGGAGATAATACTCAGAGCGGTCAGAGAAGAGTGGTGACTTGTGAAGCTCTCGTATTCACATCTCTCAAGTGCCCGGAGCTCCTTGGCTGGAGAAGCTGGAGCTGTGAAGATTGGATCCAGATTCACCTGTGAACTTCCCCGGCCGTTGGGAGTGCGCGGCAGAACGTGCGTTGGGTGCTCCCTAAGAACTAGTGCTGAGTGACGTGACTGAATCATGGTACCATGTGAGAATGGCCTGTGGCTAGATCGGGAGAGTGTTAGAATGGTTCTGTCTCGCCCCCCAGTCAGGCCAGCTGCGTGTAGATGGTGCTAGCAGGAGCAGTGGTAACGGTTGGTTAATGTTCTGCTAACCTGGCTGTGCCCCCTTTCTATACAGCATCAAAGTACCAGGTGCGCGGCCTGCATGTGACTAATGAGCAAGTCGCTTACTGGCTGATTCCGCATCAAACTGCAGCTCTCAGCTGATTCGGAGCCACCCCACTTCTAAAACCATCTTTAAATCAGTCCAGGTGACATCTCCGCCTGTCCCTCATGTTGTCCCACAAACTTATACAGGATCGTTTCAGGGGTCAAGGCAAAGATGCCACATTTATTAATCT